CCCTCCGAAAAAACAATGCAGCGATGAACAATAATCTAAACTAAATTAACTTCTCATTTTAAAATATTAAACAATGCCTTGAATAAGATGATCATGTTCGGCCAAAAAAAAAAAAAAAAGTGATTACAGATTCCATGCATCTACCAGAATTCAAGTCAATCTCAAAAACTCAGCATATTAAACAACCACTTACAGAAGCTTAGCAGAAAAAAGTTTGTAATCTTGTTGGTAAAATTTTCTTTTCTTCCTTCAATTCTTCAAATTTACTCTTTGATACTCCTCTTTTGGTGTGTGCTTGTTTAGTCCTTTAGATGATCGTTCCTGCAACTAAGTTCCTAGAGCTTGGTTTTTCCAGGTGGAATCTTCTTGAAAGCTTTCTTTGTCCTTTATGAAATCGATCAACTTTCAAAAATTGGCGTTTAACTCCTTGCGATTTTCCAACATACATATGAGTCCTTACAATAAAAAATTTTAAGGTCTTTAGTTAAATCCAAACACGTAAACATTTTAATAAAAGACCAAACTCTCTATCTGTACTGTACATATTACTTTTTTCCACAGTCAACACATTTAAGAATTTTACTCCTAGTCAACACTAATCATAATTTAAAATTCATAAAAAACTCAAAAGTTAACGGTCAAACCTTATATTTACAACTTGACATTGTTGATAATTTGGAATTTTTTATGAATTTCAAATTATTGAGGGTGCTGATCAAGAAGAAACTTATAAAAGGTGTTGATTGTGAAAAAATATATACAGAGTGTAAATACAGGATTTGAATGATAATAAAAATATTCATATACCCTTAATAAATGATCACTTAAAAAAATTAAAAGTATTTAAATTATTTCACAAACAATCTTGATATTTTTCCCAAAAAAATCTTAATATTTTAAATATCAAAATCTTTTTTACTTTTTGCTTTATAGAAAGAAACTACTTGCCTTTTGCTTTTGACGATTTTAAATTTTGATTACCTTTCCCCTGTTTCTGCTTAAAATTTCTGTACTTAATTGGTCTTCTAATTTTTATTTTTTTTTGACAAAAGTAATGATTAAGAAGTTAGTATGAGTTAGTTGTTAGCAACTGGCCCTCAAACCGGCTGAACATTCCACTCCTTCAAATGAGGCGCGCGGCCATCAGACCGTTTTTTGGTGGATTTCACGACAACAACCAAAAAAAGGTAACTATCATGATTGGTAGTGGAACTCGAAACTCCGACCACCTCACCCAAGCACTTAAGGCTTAGGGTCGAACCATTGGGCCTAAAGGCCTGGTTCTTCTAACTTATTTGTTTTGTAGGTTTATGTACTGTCTTGGATTATTATGGCAACCGTTCTTCTAGTTTTGAAGGTATGCAATCACATCTCACAATATGATGAAAACAAATTTAAATTACTGTAAAGAATGTGGGTTTATGTCAATAACGACCTTCTTATTCCACAGTCTGTATGTCTAAAACGTTTGTTTACTGGCACACATTAATTTTTTATATTCCCGATATGTTCGACATGTTGCTGCCAGATGGTGTCAACGGGTAGGCGAAGATTTGGCACTGACTTCCACCTAATGTTCAGAATTCTGAAGGCCCTTCTATTCCTAGGTTTCTTGTCTGTCAAATCTGTTCTATTTGTTGTCTAGGGCCTCACTCCTTCAGATATATTTGCTGCCATCCTCGCTTTCATGCCTACTAGATGGGCCATTATTCTTCTAAGTAATCTTTTGCAGATGGTCTTTCCTTTCATCATTTGGCTTTGTTATTGTCAATTATTGACTTTCCATTTTTTGTTGTGGCTTTGTAGACTACACAAGCAATGAGCCCGGTGGTGAAGGGATTAGGATATTCTAGGACTCAATAAAGGAGCTGGCAAGGGCCTACGAGTACATTATGGGACTCGTACTGTTTGCGCCAATAGCCATAATGTCTTAGTTCCCATTCGTTTCAGAGTTCCAACACGCCTACTCTTCAACCAAGCATTTAATAGAGGCCTTTAGATATCAATAATTATGCAAGGGAAGAAAGATAAAGACATCACCCACACCCAAATGAAGTTTCTATGCATCTCACCTCGCTTTCTTTTGATATCCACCCAAAGGATTAGTTTCATTTGTCACTTTAACTAAGTTCCCTATGTTGTTATCAAGTCTTTTATTAATTACTCTTCCTCTTTAGGGATGACAACGTGTCCTCACGGGGGCGGGGACTCCCTCCCCATCCCCATCTCCATCAATGACGAATATGGGGATCCCCACAGGAATTTTTGGCAGAAGGTCAAAAATAGCCTCCGTCCCCATACCCGCAGGGAATGATAAGTCTCCGCGGTTATTCAGAATCCTCGCCAAATAAAACTATCATCTATTCTAATACTCTAAATCATAAGCACTAAAGCACAAAAATTGTAATTTCAAAAAAACTACAGCTAATTGATACCTGGAGGTTGGAGTTGAAAAGGTTGAGAATTGGAGGCAGAGCTGCAAAGGAAGAAGGAAGACCTAAGTTGAAGGTGAGTAGTGATCCGTGAGTGGAGTGGAGGCAACTCAGGCAATAGCTAGCCGCTATTGATTTCAAGGGTAGTGACGGGACGAAGAGAACTTGAAGGTGAGGACTAAGGAGGATGACCCAGCCTTGGAGCTGGAGATGAGTGGTGAGCGGTGAGCATTGCAATGGTTGCACAACACAATGGGTAGTGACAGCATGGTGAGATCTTGATTTTGAAGGGAATCACAGATGAGATCAGGAGTTGACGATAGAGGATTGAGCAAACAGAAAGAGTTACAATGCAGAGCGGCAGAAAAGACTGGAGCCTGGAGACTAGAAGACCGAGGAATCGCAAGCGGCAAGCAAATATGAAATCTTTGGCTTTGGATAGTTCTTCTATGGTTATCAATTTAATTGGGCTGGGCAATTAGGAGGTTTAAGAAGATTGGATTCACAAAAAGAATGGGCTAGGTAAGACAATTTGGGTTTGGAAAATTGAAAAAAGAATGGGTTGTGAAATTTAGGTTGTATTGGTATTGGGTTAGCTAATTAAAATGGGTAAGTAAAAATTAATTGCTAATATATTTACAAAAATATATATATAAATAAATTTGTCTATTTTTTTATTTTTTATGGTTCTTCATGGTTCCCCACAGAATGGAGAAAACTCCCCGTGAAATTTCACGAGGAAAAAAGTGCCTCCATCCCCACCCACGGGAAGGAATATTCTTGAAATCTCCATCCTCGTAACGGGGATCTCCATGAAGCTTCACGGGTCACAAAGGAAATTGCCATCCCTATTCCTCTTCCTTCTTTAGTTAACGGCAAAGTAAAGCTTTCAATATGTGTTAATTGACTATCCTTTTGCAAAAGCCAATTCTAAAAATTGGTTAGTTCAGCATAAGAAATTTCAATTATTAATAAAAAGAGAAGAAAATATGCTCCACATTCATTTTAGTATAATGTGCAGTCTCAAGTAAAAAGCATTATAATAAAGATAAAAAGTAATATAATTCTAATGTTAAAAGTTATTATAAATTTATAACATGATACATTTTTATATAACTAATTTTTTTTATCTAAGAGTTTATTTGTAATATTATACACATTTATGCCTTTAAACTTAGAATTTTATATGAAATTGTAAATATATTGATGTTAATTACTAGGGATAAGAAGTTAAAGTATTGACTATATTTAAGTTGTTTCAAATTTTGCTTTTAGGCTATACTCACTTCAAAGATTTCTCAAACAAATTAGATGAAATCTAACTTCCAATTTCTTTTATGGACGACTACAAGGCTTATCGATTATTGACCTTAGCATTTTCATCTTAACAGAGGTGTCAATTAATCCACGGTGGAAATCCATGGCCAGCCCTTCACCATATTCATTATAAAAGTCTTAATCTCTTAACTTATAATATGAAAGTTTTAGCTTTTCTTCTTTTTTTTTTTCGGCCTAAAAGAAAAAATCCAAAATGGATGGTAGTATCATGTGCTCATTAAAATTCTATTACATATTGCTATGTTAGCACAAACATGGCAATTCCTTACCATCATGAACTGCTACCATGAATAATAAAATTTTGTTATTCATCATGACTCTCACCATGGCAATTCTTTTCCATTGCCATGTCATGTCACGGACATAGTTTTTTACTTTTATTAGACTTGGGGAAATTAGACTCAATTTAAAAATCCAACCCAATCCATTCTCATAGAACCATGGGTCTAAGGTATCAATTTATAATCAAATATAACCACCATGGGTCTAAGGTATCAATTTATAATCAAATATAACCATAACTAAAATTACTTAGACCTAAGTTGGGTTAGTTCGAAGTGACCGGATTAAAATTTTTTTTATCTTTTGGTTGTACAATAAGAAGTAATCCTCTTTCGTCTCTTACCCTACTCCACTCGTATGTTATGCAACTTAAATTCAGAATTTCTTACTTTTAATAAAAGGATATTACCACTGAATTACTTAGATTGCTAATGTGGCTTGATTAAAATTAATTAATATTTTTAAATTTAAAATTTTGATTAATTATATTTTTAATTTTAATTTTTAAGTATAATACAAAATTAAATACTATAAAATGATTATTATTTATTAGATTATTAGTGTTAATATTAATTTATAATATTTTTTCAACTAAATAATTAATTAATATTAAATTTTATTAAGAAAAATAGACAAAATATTAACAATTTTTCATTTGAATTTTAATTTTTTAAAAGGTTGGATCCACTTGATGCAATCGAAGACTTGTGTGGATAAGTCATGAGAAATCCAAAATGATTAAAACTGATAAATCTGAAATATGAGGTGACCCAATTTAAACTCATCTAACTTATTTGATAGCTCTAATTTGTTTGTCATGTTTAACTTTTATTGTCTACAATGGCAATCCATGATGGTAAGGAATTGTAATGGAATTTTAACAAGCACATGACGTTGCCATCCACTTTGGATTTTTTTCATTTAGGCTGAAAAGATGAGGAACTAAAATTTTTATATCTTAAGTTGAGAGGCTGGCACTTCTATAATCAATAAGGTGGAGGGCTGGCCATGGATTTTCACCATTAATCCACTTCCACAAAAGCCTTAACTTGATTTATTTATTGATGGAACCTGTGCTCATCCACTTCCGCTCTTGGGGAGCCAATGAGCTGCACCAATTCCATAGTCTCTGCAAATTGACAGTTAGAGTAGTTGGAACTTGGAATGAATTAAAAGGAAACGAAGACCTAAAAGGAGATCAGCATCTTCGTCAAAATCAATTCAATGGTATTCCACATTCATTCATTCTTAATCCTTAATCCTAAGCTTGCTTTTAATCTGTGATTTCGATGATACTTGCAGGCGGACGCAGATCAGAAGAAGCTGAAGCTGTATTCCTTCTGCGGAAGCTCCTGCTCTTTCCGCGTTCGAATTCCCCTCAACTTAAAAGGCAAGTTTGGAAATCTGAATTCATCTCTTCTTTTTTTCAAATTATTCAATTACTCTTATCTCCTTTCAGGGCTTCAATACCAATATATACCTGTTAATCTTTTCAAGGGAGAACAGTTGACTCCCGGTTAGTAATTTCCTTTTACTTGTTCATCTTGACTCCTCATTTGCTAATTCATAATCATATTCATATTCTATTTCTGTAAAAATTTATGGATAGAATTCATCAAGGTCAATCCCATTGGGTATGTGCCGGCCCTGGTTCATGGCGATGTTGTGGTGTCTGACTCTTTAGCTATTTTGATGGTCAGTTCCTCTACCTACACCACCCTCTCTTTCTACTTTCATTGTTTTAATTCACTTTACTCTAACCGCAGTATCTAGAAGACAAGTACCCTCAACATCCACTCTTGCCATCCAATCTTCATAAAAGAGCCATCAATTATCAGGTAAATAATTATTCTTCTTAATTATTTCTTCTCCCCTTAATTTCATAAACTCACAAACTCATCAATTCAATCATTTTGTGGGCTGCAAATATTGTTTCCTCAAGCATTCAACCTCTTCAGCCAGTTGCACATGTTAGTGTCATTTCATTCTTCAAATCAAAACGATGCTTTTCTGGATTATAATAATGTCTATTATATTTTCAGAAATAAGTTAGGGACAAATTCGGTGCAGATGAGGAACTTTCTTTTGCCAGAGACCATATTGGCAAAGGCTTTGAAGGTAAAATATGTGCCATTAGTTATCTTATTACTTTTTTAATTGACAAATATTCAAGTAAGTTTTAGAACTATTCAACACGATTAAAAGACAGTAATTAAAGATTCAGGAGCTGAACACTTTTTACAACAGGCTTTCAAGTATACCAACAGCAAGTATAAAGATGAAGGCTTTGATCTTTTTGTTCTTTTCTTCACTTTTGAGGGGGTCAGCAAAATAAAATTTTATGCCTTTGGAGTACAGGGGTAGAAAGAAACTAACACAATCACCATTTCCTAGGAGGTCCCTTAAACCAAGAAAAAAAAAAATCAAATAATCAAGGGCTTAACACTTTTTACAACAGAGTTTCTTTCCTTATTAAATTTAAGGCTTGAGCTTGATTTAACTGTTTCTTTCTATTTATTTCAGCACTTGAGAAGCTTTTAAGAGGCCATGCAGGACGATATGCAACGGGAGATCAAGTTTTCTTGGTTTGTTTCTTTTGCTCTTGTTTTTAGACCTTTTGTTACATCCCAGACCTGCAGCCTTAGCCAAAAAGGTCAGGTTTGACTGCAACTTTTAGATTAACTCCATTTTAAATAGTTGCAGACAGGCTTCTTAGAGAAAAGATACTTCTAGGTCTCCTTTAGAAAGCTTTTGAAAACAAGTTCATAATAAATAAGCCTTAAACTTCTGTATAAAGTTATCTTTAAATACAAAAACAGTTTAAGGACAACTTTTAATAATCAGATAACTACTGCTTTAAAGAACAAATAATCACCTCTGTAGCAAACTACTAATGAGCTTAGGTTCCAATTTAAAAACACATATTTTGAATATTTACACAAATCCTTGGGCAGTCCGTGTATACACTTATTTATACAGCGAACTCTATCAACTAATTAAGATTCAGCTCTTAAGCTTACTTGATTCCCCATTTGGTAAACAAAACATATTCTAGTAATGTGAAGTTCTCTTACAAAACAATGAGCCAGGATTTTGCTTTGGGCAGATACAAGTTACCTTGACAAACCTAAAAAGCTTGTTCACTACCAGCAACCATAGAAAACTCTTAGTCTCCCAATAATTGTTGATCTCTTCACTAGCTAACCTAAAACAGGGTAATACACCATGAGCTATGAAGCCCAATAAACATAGGTTATAAATTAAGAGCCATAACTAAAACCTTAATTTAACTTAATAAGTTCCATCAATTAACTTACATTGTTCTTCCATATAAAACTTTGTCATGAATCATGATACAAGAATTAGGCATAGACAAATCATCATCCCAAAAATAATCTACATTCTCTAAATTAGAACTATCTAATTTAGAACAGGTAAGTTCAATCCAAGCACATGCTTACTTGGTCTCCATTCTAGAACAAACAAGAAAAGTATGTTCCTTTACCTCAGGAAGCACAGAATCAGTTCCAACAAACACAGCTCATCAATATTGAACAGTTTTGTCAGTGTCATAAATAAATGTGATATAAATACTTCCAATAAACATAAGATAATAGCAAGGCAGCGTTATGCTTGTTCAACATGCAGATGAATGCAAGTTCTTATTATGTATTTTTCCTTGTGGGTGTACATCCTGCCATACCAATGGTCCAACCAATGGTTCTTCCTACCATGCAGTGGATCTATAGATATCTTTCTTCACACTCCCACTCCAACTGGGTTCTACCTAGCTCAATGGCTCAGGTATCTTTTTAGTTATCTTCTTTTTTTACTCCAAATACATTAGGAGCATCATTCTTTTACCCCAGGTAACTTTGGGAGCATCATCATTCTTTACTCTAGGTAACTTTAGGAGTATCTTACCCAGCCATTAGCTTAGGTATCATACCATAGATTCTATGCAGCATGTGAAATAATGCATTCTTATGTCCTAAATCAACTCTCATTCTTTAACTTATATAAACAGCACTCTATGCACTGTCATGCTTGTACTTAGTTATAGCAAGACAATTTAGTATTATATCACAGCAGAATAGCACAGTAGCTTGTGTCAATTAAAGCATTCAAAAGCCATATCTACATGTCCAACATGTAGTCTCAACTTTAAGACTTATAGCCTAGACATGGCTAAACAATTAAATTCAACTTGCATATTAGCTCATCTATTTAGCACCTTCCATAGTTAATAGATTTTTAGAACTTCAAGCTTATTTCATGAACACAACAAATCATATATGGCTCGGACACAACAGCTAACCATGAACTAATTCATAATTTCGATTGCATGTTAAGCATTCTTCTTTATTAAGCCCATTTCTTGCATTAGCTTTAGTCTAGGATCATATTTAACCAGATAAATATCATTTCAACTTCAATTACAGCTACCAAAGTCATAATCTATACGTACCTCACAAAGCCCAATACCATTCTTGGTAGAATCCCTTAGATTTCTTCAAATTCTCCCCACTGATGTGCAGCTGCTCCTTTGGTTATTCTCCTTTTCTGGTTCGACCCACAAATGCAAGAGTTGAAAAAACGTTTCTTCATTTCTTCCAATTTTACTGCCGCTGCAAAGTTCCCAAAATCTCCTTTCATTTCTTTCGGTTGAATAGAAAAGGAAAGGGAAATTGTTAAGGTTGCAAAGCTTCTCTCGACTGAAGAAAAGAAAAGAAGTCATAATGTGGTAAATGGCATGAAATGGGGTTGTAATTTAATTATAACCATGGGCCGATTTTGTTGCTGGAATCTGCCTATGCCACCTCAGGAATCTCCAGCTAGTGGCTTCGAAAAACGCAGCCCACTAACTCAAAGTTTGGGGTTTGCCATGCAAACCTTTAATTTTCAAATTATTCAATTTAAGTCCTCAGTAACTAAGGACTGTTATTTAAAATATAATCAATCAAGGATGGGGCCTTTATATTATTCAATGTTATACATGGTAAAGCTTTCAAGCTGCATATACTTTCCTAAAGGAAGTTTTTACGAGATGGAAGTTGGGGTTTCAGTGTCACCTTTAACCACTTTTGTTTCTCACCTTTTTGTTGTTGCAAAGTGTGATGTCCCGAGTATACACCCTCTAGTTTTTTGGACTTGAACCTTGATGCAGTTCTGTTCTCAAATCATGGGTCTATGTTTTCTGAGATCAAATGGCCCAACCATTGTCTTTTATTTTTGGTAAAATGTAAAATTTATTACCAAAAAACTCTAAAATGTGTAAAGTAGCATTTATATTAAGGCTGCTACTTTAGTACTATACAATGACTGAATGAGACAATGGGATAGACCAAATCACAACAGGACCACCATTATCAATGATTTCGCGTTTGATATGCTATTCACAATGGTATTGTTGTAAACTTCTTACTGTCTGAGTTGCTTAGAACAATGGTCTTTGAAACTTCATTCCTAATTGAACTAGAGGATAAGAGTTATTGTGATATATTTTAATTTATTGTGAAAAGCATCAAACCTAACAGTTACAGGTTTTCTTTTGTAGGCTGATTTGTTTTTGGCTCCTCAGATTTATGCAGCAATTAAGAGGTTCAATATTGACATGGTCATGGTTGTTCCTTGAACTTCTCTGCCAAATTTTACATTCAATTGGTGTTTGTTTGAATGTATTTAGGCCATTATGACAAAAGGGCTGACTTATTGTTGGAGATATCTTTGTTTTTGTGTGCTATTAATTTCTTCATCATATTAGGACAAACCTCTTACCTTTTAGTTTTGTAGTTGTTTGGGCAGCTTCGTAGTCCAACACTGTTGAAGTCCTCAGCTGCTTCTACACTTGAAAATCCCAAGGATGTTTCATCGGGAAAAACACTTTGACGCTCAAGTCAGTAATACTCGATATTCTAGAGAGAGATGCTCTCAATGAGTAATTGTAGAGAGAGAAGCGTAGAGATTAATTACCTCTTTAGAGGTAGTTAGGGGGGTATTTATAGCCCCAAGTGCTAACATGCATTGGTACATGTAAGCATCTGATTGGCCCATGTGGTGCTGTCCACGTGGGTATGTTTGTACTTGCTGTACCGGTGCTCCATCCTCTTGGGCTAATGGCCACCAGCCTAGGCCCATTATGTACAGCCCCAGTTGAATGTTGGGCCTATTCCAACATTACTCCCCCCTCGGCGTTCGATTGACGAATTGGGTCGAATGTGTCCATGGCCCAACGTTCGAGCTAGTGTATAGGATTGACAGCTCTTGCAGCTTGTGAGCGATCTCGTTAATGGCCGATCTGAAAGGTGGCACCAGTTACTTATCCTGAAGGGAAGGTTCGATTAGATTGCAGTTCTATAGCCTGTGCTCTCAATGATCCGACAAGGTTTGTGTAAGTACGACGACCTCGTAAGCCTGAGAGAGTACAGGCGAGCTGATATCTGTAACCTCACTGGTGTGGGCTTGTTATATCAACGAGCTGAAGTGGCTCACAAAAGGTAAGCTCGCCTAGTGAATAGCCATGCACTCAAGTTTAAGGTGTTATTCGCTGTTTCAGCGAGCTCGTCTGCGTTAACCTAAGCGCAAGAGAACGTGTGACGACCTGAACCTTGAATACTGTCGAAGGTATTGAAGTGACCAGGTGATGCTATCAGTCAAACATAATGACGAGTTGAGATGAGGCGACCTTAACCACAAAATGATCTGAGATTTTAGATTATTATACTTTATCAGCTCGTATGTGCAACGAGGTTAAATAGAGCGATCTCGAATATCTAACAATCTATGATCTTTCACGAGCTACCACTCTTGTAACGACTTGATAAATGTTGACACCATGACGAGCTGGCATGGATGTGAAAAGAAACAAATCAACTTGTTATGATCTGAATCTTGGGGGATTTTAGCAAATCTCTGAAGAGATACAATTGATCTAGGCGATTGATCTCCCGTATCTCTCTGCCTCCTCGCCATAAATGTTGGCTCAGCATTTGAGGGGACGTGATAGCTAAAGCCGACGCACGCTATGCAAAAGGGGTGTTAAGCGCATGCCATGTGTGGGATGCTAACTGGCGCGTCAGAGACACGTGTACGGCAATTAACACTACAATTTCAGTTTTATTCTTTGCATAACCGTTCCCCTTTCCATTTTCATTTCACTGTTTGCTTGAAACTTGCTGAGATTCTCTATAGCGAAGCACTTCTGGCTTGAAGAATAAAGCACCAGACCACACAGACTACAGTTACACATCAATTTCAGGTAAAATGGATTCCTTTAGAGAACTTAGAGAGCCACGAGGTAACCAGGGCAGAGAGGAAGAAGAGGAAGGGGTTATATCTGTAGAGCCTATCACGATGATAGTGCCGCCGGCGCTGCAGGACTTGCTGGAAACGTTAATGCCTAAGAGCAGCGCTAGTTCGAGCGCTAGGGACAATGGTGGCGACCACCACACTACATCGTCCAACAACTCGTCCTTTGAGGAGACACCCAACCGCGAGGAAGGGACAGGGAATGTGGTTGGCAATGACCCAGATCTGCCCGTGGTTGGAGAATGGGAAAATAGGGTACTCACAGGCAGATTGAGTAACCTACGCAAGGCACCCAAGGACCTGCCCGCTGGATTTAGATTCAGGGTGGCGCTTCATGATGAAGTAGCAGACAGCGCGCCCTCAATAAGTGGGTACAAGAAACTGGAGGATATGGTGAGGGCGTACCACATTCCCTGGACGATATTGCTCTAAGCAGGCGCAAAGAATGAGAGGGCGTGCACAGTGTCACAGACGAGTTGGATCCTAGTGTACGTGGATCACTTTGACACCGGCCTGTGATTTCCCTTGCCCGGACTGATATTCGACCTGCTAGCGGATTACGAGCTGACTTTGACACAGCTGACGCCTAACAGCATAAGGTTCATCATAGGCTTTATGCTGTTGTGTACGAGGTTGGAGGTACCGGCGAAGGCGATAGTGTTCAGGTCGCTGTTCCAGTGTCGGTTATGTTCGAACTCTAGAGGTGCGAAGTGGTACTACCTCTTTGGGAGGGAGAAGTGCCAGCTCTTCAAAAATGTGAGGAACAAAGTGGCGAGGTGGAAGAGGCAGTTCATTTTTGTTCACGACACGCGAACAAAAAGAATAAGCAACGACCTCGCTGCTCGGTTATTTGAATGACGTGTGCCGAATGCACACGTTAACTACCCTCAACTGTTGCCATGGGACACGGATCTGAAGAATCGGCTGCTAGAGTATGCGAGGAGGGAAAATTTAATAGACTTGGAAGTCCTGGTTACCTAGGAGCAGCTCGTTGTGTTCGGGTTTGTCGACGCGGCAAACCAGTTCACAGAAGGTATACTTTTATCATTTACCATAAATTCTAGCTGAGCTGAGTCTTATATATTCGTTTGTGCAGGAGAAATGAGCAGCATACTCGAACGCCAGCATCAACGAGCCCAGGGCTCCCGAGGTCGTGCAGTGGGCGGTACTTCACAAAGGCAGGCACGATTTGACGAGCGACCGCCTCCAGCGCCACAATCTCGCAGCTCGTCAAATTGTGGTTCTAGCTCGGCATCCAAGCCTCGCGCCGAGCAGCTGGTGGAAACTGCGACCCCTAG